TTTTTGTTTGCAACGAACAACATGCATCACGCAAGAAAATGAAGCCAGAAACCGAAAAGAGCCATCTCCACTTAACAAAAGGCTCCTTACTTACACAGTCTCAACGCAGTGACATAGAAGAACTATTATACTGGCTGAAGTTAAAGCTATCAGCGACGGTGAATTTGTGTACGTTTACTCTCATCACCTTCAGGTAACACTGTGTAGTAAGAAATGCATGTAAACGTCAAACAGCGGCGGTTGATCGTAAAGTTATATCGACATATTTCTAGATGCAATGAAGATTAAGATATGTGTCAAGTATAAATGCTATTGCGTCATTACGTTTAAGTTGTGTTGGGAAGCAATCGGGCGGTATTGCTTGGTACACTGGTATGTAAACCCAAAAATACATGTTTCTCTCATACTATGTAAAAAGTGGCGTAGAGAACAAATCTGAAATTCGTTTTGTCCAATTCGACTTATTTTAGGTGAAAATCGGCATTTTCAACTGAAATGCCATTTCCGGTAAAAACAATAGCGAGAGTCGTGACGTGGCGGTGGAACTAAAACATATTCCCTAGTAGAACTGGTGTGGTAGCTCGTGTAAGTAGCGGTAGTTCGAAGATGTTTTTCAGAAGATAGCGACTCGAATGCCCTAAGCTTAGTATATGACGGCGATGGGGATGGTCTAGAATCTTTAGGAGAGTCTGGGCCACAATATGAGCTGCGTAGGGTTCACCGAAGCGATCCACACGAACACAGTGTTGACAGCGATGCGACCTCCTCGGAAACTCAGACTGGTATCTAATTTACTGTGTGATTTACTTGTATTTGATATGAAAATCCAATAAAGCAAGGGCACAATCTAAAAGAATGCAACAGAAATGTTTTAAACCCGCTGAGCTTCCGAGGGTGTTTTATATAAAATTGTCAAAGGTGCGAGTGTGGAACTTGTCAACCAATGCCGACAACTCGTGAAAGTGTTTGTTGTACGGAAATCGGGCAATTGTGGCAAAAAGTAGAGGAGTTTTTTGGGTTTACATGCCCTTTAAGCTTATGTCGATCAAAAGAACGTTCACATAAACAAAACGACCGACAGATTCAAGACTAATTTCGATTGTAAAACAGCTTTCACTACCGTAAGAGGTTACATCGAAAAGGTTTTTTAAGTTTAAAGCTTGTACTGAACAAATACCGATGATGAAATGCGTTTTGTAAATAAAATTGGTGAATGGAACGGGAACACGCAACGAGCTGTCTGGATAAATTTAAATCAGCTCTGGTTGAACTATGTCTAAATTAATGTCTAAAATAATTTTACTTACCCTTCGCACTTTTCCATAAGAACAAAATCCATTCAATTTTCCGGTCGGATCACATCAATATCAGTCCTAAAAAGTGTATAACGATGTTTTGTTCGTTGTTCGGCGAACTTCATCCATACTGGAATCACAAATCGCGCCAAATCCGCCGAGCATGCGCACTCATTTTGCCGCTGTGTCGCTGTGTCGTTGTTATCTGTATGTCGCACGTGTCGTTCGACGTAGGGCACTCGCGTAAGTTGCACGGCCATTCTATCCCCACTCAATATTACCGAATTCTGTACCAAGTTGGCCAAAACAGTCTACGTTTAAATCTGAAACACACTAGAGTAACATGTGTAGGACTGAAGCTGTCAAAAGGTACAAATACTGACCTCAACTAAAGGAAGAACTAATGAATGAAGGGGTAAGTTTCTAAAGAAACTGTGGTGCTCCGTCGGTGGGAGAGTATAGCAGGTAATTTAGTGTTAACAACTGAGTTGAAAACGTAAATTAGCCACCGTAAAGGGTAAAAAAGCTGACGTTTCGAGCGTTAGCCCTTTGTCAGAGCGATATGACGAAGGGCTAACGCTCGAAACGTCAGCTTTTTTACCCTTTACGGTGGCTAGTTTACGTTTTCAACTCAGTTGTTAACACTAAATTACCTGCTAAAGGAAGAACTAACCGAGATACGTTTTATTATTAAATTTCAATTTTAATGATACCGTAATTTTAAAGGTAGGTTGGTGTGAATAAAATTATCATCATATTAAAGTTCACAAGGCAACTAGGTGGACAATCAGGAGGGTCCTCAATAGGTTTTTCGGGATCCGGGCTTATTTAGAGGCCGGGTTCCGGGAATTTCAAGTAAGAGGGTAGCGAGATGCGGGATTGCTATCATGAATGCGACACGAGAATCGGCGATTTTGAGGAGCGGGATTCGGGAAATAATCACTTGAACCAACCGAGAACCGGGATGTCCGATGGCGAAAATTTGTGAAGAAACTTATCTTCTCAGTCCATGAAAAGCACCAGGCGTAAAAGCTATCTAGCTGATTCAAGAGGCGTTCGGGCTGTCCAGCGAGACTCTTCAGTTGTTGCGCGGGAATGATAATTATATCAGACTAGCTAAGTTAAGCTAAGTTGCCAAGTTACCAAAACTCTCAATAGCCCACAGGGTATCGTGGCATATCTAAGACTGCTGCATCAATTGAAATGCTTAACGGCCTTGGTGATAGGATCCTTAGATTTGGCGAAAATATACCTAAATTCTAAAAAGGTCTTTGCGCAACTTTAACGTTTATTTGTTTTTCCTAAGAGTGGTTACATATATTCCTATACAAACTCTTATAACATTGCCATGACTTCTAGTTCGCAAGATGATCATCTCAGAGCTGGAGCTTGGGCCGCCAGTGATTGAAAGACTATATGTAAAAGAAAAAAAATTGTTAATGAGCCGATGATGTTCGGCGGTCTTAAATATTATACTTTTGATCATCTTCAATGAATCGCCTTAAATAATATTTGTCGAGCCCTCAGAGCAGCCAACAAATTACAGTTTTTTCGCTCTCAACACCCTTCGCAAACATAACCACATTATGAGCTTTTATTGATAATTTGGAGCAACTTCAGAATACCCCGCCACCATTTACATGTCATTGAATAAGAATAGCGTCTATTGTGTTATGACTCGATCTTCAAAGCCTCCCGACACATGTAAGTGAGGCGGACTAAAGTGGCGGGGTATTCTGAAGTTTAGCCGATAATTTTAAATAACTTGCTGTTAAAACTGCAAATAAATGAAATGACTAAATGTTCTGATATTTTGAACGCGGACGGTCGGCAAAATAATTCAGAAAGTTTAAAAAGTAAAAAGCCAGTTTATGATGGCAAAATTCTAATCAAAAGCTAATTATTTCCAAAATGGCACAAAGTATACGTGAGTGAGAATATTTTCACAACACAACAATAGTTCAAATTCACCCGTATCGCTTCATGCTAATTACACTTAAAAATCGAACAAGTCGTTAAAACCCTCGCAATAGTATCTCCTGCTTTGCGTGGATAACTATCACAGCTGTTGACTTTTATGACAGCAAACTGCACACAACTCCAAACGAAAAGTCGCGTCCCATCTACCCCTATTTAGTATTAAAACTCCATTCAAAGGATCAAATCTTACGCTAAAAACAGAAGTATGAGGGATATTTTCCCGTGCAAAAAAACCGATATTTTCATCGAACTCACTCGATGAAAACATCACATCGAAGCACTCGGGAGGGCGGGACGGAATATTTGGTTAGAGGTTGGTGTGTAACAGGTGTCCCAAGCTCCAGCTGTGAGTTAATCATTTTGTATAATCACCGGCAGTTTATCTATTTTAACGTTTTGCTACTCTTACTCCTACTCGCTAAATTGGCCTCTCAGGAATAGGAAACCTAGAAATAAATAACTCGTTAAATTTGCCTCGTTTCAAAAAAGTAAACGTCCTGGTGTATTTTTTATTGATAATTTGACTGTGTTTTTTTACCTTCTTAGAGCGGTTGCAAATATTCCCCGTGCGTCATGACTGAGAGACAGATATTTTCCCGTCCGGCCCAACCAAATTCATTTAATACGTAGTTTATCATAAGACCACTAAATGTTGAAAATTTCGAAATTTTGTTTCAAACGATAAACAGGCGTACATAAAAAAAAACCTCAAAAAAGGACTCCTCCTTTATATCTTCGGGTCAGATCATAATGAAACTTTTCGCGTTTCTGTTTCCTTGAAGATTAAATCCTCAATCAGAATTCACCTTTTCGGAAAAAAAATTTGAAAGTTGTTGGCAAGTTCTCCGTTTAGATATCTTTGGTCGCAATTACGATGGAGGGAATTTGACGCTGGGAGACTCACGCTATGGAGAGGCCACAGGCAGACCACACTTAGCAATAACCTGTGAGGGTAACGAATGTGGAAGCGATCCTCGCAGTTATGAACACTACTTAAGTCGTAGTGAAAATAAGGGCTAAAAAATTGAAAATTTGTCCATAAATTACAAATAAAGAACCAAGTCTGCAGTTTATCCCTGGTCTGCAGTCTTCAGTCTGCATTTTTACCCTCCCGGTCTGCAGTATACTTTTTACACTAAATGATCACAAATTCGTCGCTTAACGTTTCGTTTAACTTTATTGAGATACTCAGACCGAAATGTAATTCGGATATGCAATTTTCGGGGCTTTATTCATAACCCTCGTCAGGAGCCCATCATGCATCAGTTGGAGCCTTCAACTGCTCGGTTTTTTTGTCACAGCGTTTTCACAGACAAGTCTATTTTTAGCTTGAATTTACCGCGAACTAGGAATCCTCACGAGTTAGACAAGCTCGAAGAGGCCGTGTATTCGACGGGAAAAACCGAGTTTTCAGTTTTTTTGAAAACCTCGCTCAAATAAACCGCAACAAAAAGTAATGCTTCCGACTCACCCTCTGACTGCGGGGTGTTATTAAACTGTAGATTAGCAGACTGCGGACCAGCAGGCTGCGGAACCTCCGAAACTTCCCAAACCTATACTTTTTTGTAAAAAAATAGAAATGAAATAAAATATAAAACTAAAAAGACCTGAACACTGTTTGAAAGTTCGTTTTCGGGTATAAAGAAGATTACTTTACAGGAAAAACATGTTTTAATTTCCCT